TTTAGGGTTGAGGGCTTCGGGTTTAAGTAAATGTAGAAGCCTTAATGATTAGAATAGGGTTTTGGGGGGTTGCGTATTATGATAGTTATAGTAGAATATGCCCCAAACCCTATTCCTATTATTAAGGCCCTACATTGGGGGTTCTGGGGTGTAGGGGATTTGGGCTTTAGGGTTTCGGGTTTAGTGGAGGACTTGGATTGGAAGTATTTGCACAGGAGAACGAGCCGTCTTGTGATTCCGAGTTGGCAAATGAGATGCTGTCATGCCTTGTCCTAGCGATTCGTGTGAGTCTGGGTTGGTAGATAGACAGACAGACAGACAGACTGCTCAGAAGCACAGTGCTCGCTGAAGGATGCACAGCCACTAATGAAAGCTTTGTTGTTCGTCGTTTTGGTAGCCGTTTGCCTTACACAGCTTTACTGACTGTGTCGTCCGTGACAGGTGGTGCGATTGATGAGGGTCTTCCGCTTTGTGCAAGCCTTTCGAACCTTGATCGCCTCAATTGCCGACACGCGGCTTGGCTGATTGGACTTGTTCTGACAATGTATGTTCGGCTTGCGGTCCTTATTCTACGGATGCGTAATCCCTGCCGATGAATGACATGACCTTCCCGAATAATTAGTTTTCCTGTATGTGAAGTTCCTACAGCACAGATGCAGCTTTGTTGTTACACCCCCTACCTAGACAGTAAACAACCTACTTTTATACCTTACGAAGACCTGTTCGCGCGCAATCAGCACTAGGTTTTAGTAGCATTTCGCTGCGATTGTTATACAGGGTTTCCCGATTTCAGAATTCGGATGTACCGGTGCACGCAGGGATTTTGCACTTCGAGACGTTCGGGGGGGGAAGGGGTGGGGGGGGGAGTTGTAATTTCGTCATGTCCGAAGCTTCACTTGTTGTGCACCTCATAGAGCCGCAATTATTGCTTAAGAACAAACCCTAAACCCTAAACCCTAAACCCTAAACCCTGAACCCTGAACCCTAAACCCTGACTAAAATGTCATGTCCGAAGCTTCCACGCGTAGGGTCGAGGATTTAGGGGTTGCGCCCTGAAGGCCTGGTAGGACTTCACGCACTTGAGGTGTTGCATTTGAGGATATTCGGATTTCAGCCTCTTCAACTTGCTATTGTGGCATTAAGTTTCTGTGGAGACCGAAGCCAAGACATGCCGTGTAAAATGTAGAGAGTTTGATTGTAAGCTGTTGAAGTAGAACGAAAAAATGCCTGTGAACATATGTGTTGAGGGTTGCTCCGAAAGCCCGAGATAACGCGACTTCTCAGTGCACATACCTCCTATATTCAAGCAGTCAGACATGCCAACAAGACGCACACCCCCAAAACAACTTTCAAAGCACAAAAAGAAATAACAATGCCAACATAAACATGTCAAAGTCACACAATGCCGCGCCTGCCACGATTTTCGAAGATACCAGAACAGCTTCAGTTCAGGTTTCAGCCTAGAAAATAGATTTGCGCCCTGCCCGTGCACCATATATATATATATATATATATATATGTATATATATATATATATATATGCGAATAGCCGTCTGTGTGCCTGTTCCATGCGCTTCAAAACAAATAACGACCGCAATTTCCTGGTTTTTGTTGTTGCGCTCCAAAAACATCACGGCGTCATGTATTCCAAGGCCTCCACGTCCTGGTTTTTGCGATGCGAAATGCTCCTCCGATGTTCTTGTTTTTCCAACGTTGTTGAATTTTCTTGTTCGAGCAACATCGACAGCTCAAAATCCTCCATGTCTTCACGCTGTCTGACAAACACTCGTCTATGAATAGCCCGAAAACACAATAGGTTAGCATCTGCATGAATTCAAGACACTCTTGTTGGCAGCTGCATCGAGGCCATTTTTCGAGTAGCAACACGTTTTGACACAGAAAAACGTGAATTCCACACCCAGTTAAATCAATGTGGTATTTACAAATATACAACTGACTGCTTCCCTGTGCTGCAGCGCGCGCTTGAAAAAAGGCTTCGGGGCGTTATAAGGACTTATACAAATTAAGTAGATCTGAGGAAGGAGTCTTGAAAAGGTAGGTTTTTTGGGGTTCCAGGTAAAGCTTAAACCCCTCAACCGTATGGCTTTTCCTTTTAAGACCGTCGTTGGTTCCGACAGGCCCGACAGGGTTTATCACGTCCAGGGTCCTGAAACTGGCCTAAAGAAATAGTCCTCGGATCTTGCCCGCAAAAGGGGCTTATTTAGTGACTTAGTGGTAACTTAGGGCTCAATGGTTAATGGTGTTTAGTCATTAGTAATAAATGATTACCATCGTTATTCCTTACGGTTCCTCATTGTAACCATGGTATAAAACACACCCAAAACTCTATTCCAACTATCTAGGCCCTTTCATAAATCCAGACATAGACCTCACAAGTAGCCGCTGCAGCCACGAGTACGGTAGCTATCGAAAAGTCTCAGACCCTCACCTTACACACCCTGTGAAACTACTTATGTTCCCTTCCACAGATCACATCGCAGTGCCGGTCGGTCGGTGGGTCTGGTAGGCCAAGCATGCCTGTGTAGACGTATGCATGCAAGTATGCATGTACATGTCAGGGTTTAGGGTTTAGGGTTACATGTCTGGTGAAGCGTATAGGTCAGCGCTGTCCATTTCCCTTTTAAGGTTGAAGTCTCTCTTTTGGGCTTTGATGCTGCTCGTGGTCATCGTCTACGTGTTCGCAGTGCCTTGGACCAGCAGCATCTCTATCTCAAGCGACGCCTCTGCCCCCCTCTGTAGCTGTTGAAGCACAAGCCCTCCCTTTTTACGAATTACAGGGCTGTAGCTATTAAAGCACAAGCCCTCTTTTTTACGAATTACAGGGCTTGGGGTTGGGCTGGAGTATCCCTTGGTTCGTGTACAGTGCTTCTCGTTTCCGAACGCCATGCGACTGAAGAATGATGGGGCTTCTGCATCCGACCCACCACCCCGGTAGTCAAAGGGCTAAACGGCTGATGTGGCAAGAATCCCGCGACTGAGTGGTGGGCAAAGCGAGTTTTGATTCAGGGGTTTTGGGGTTGAGGGCTGGGGGTATAGGGTTTAGACTTTGAGGGTTTAGGGTGTGTAGGGCTTTGGGTGTTTGGGAGTCCTGTTGTCAAGCTGGCCTGCTGCACGCGGGCGGTAGCGCATAAGAGACGTTGAGAGAAGTCCTGGGAACGGCGACAGACAGACACACCCGGACCGACAACAGAGAGAGAGAGAGAGAGGGAGATGGAGAGAAAATATACGGAGAGAGAGGTAGAGAGACAGAGAGAGAGAGAGAGAGAGAGAGACAGACAGCAAGAGAGAGACAGAGTGAGAGGGAGAGAGAGAGAGCGCGAGAGAGAGGGAGGGATGGAGGAAGGCAGGGAGGAGAGGTCAAGGAACAAACAGAGAGTTTAGGGTACACAGGGGCAGAGCATGGGGATCGCTACCGTGTCACCAAGCTGTCGCCGCCATTCCGCATGAGGGGGGCCTGCCACCTACACCAGCAGAGAGAGCGAGAGACAGAGAGAGAGAGACAGAGACAGAGAGAGAGAGAGAGAGAGTGAGTACGTGGGTGAGTGAGTGAGAGATAAATTAGATGTGTATACGGACAGAGACTGGTGCAGAAAGGCGGAAAGACTGACAGCCACACAACTGCACTGGTAGACAAGCGAAGAAAGCCACCAGAGAGGGACGAAAGGGAGAACACGGCTGACAACAACGGGAGAAGATCGAGAGAGAAAGTCAGATAGACAGACGCACAGACGCAGAGACGGGATTGCACTGGTAAAGAGCGTAACAGACAGAGACAGACCTTACATACAGAGCAGCAGAACAGAGAGTGGGAGAGAAAGAGAGAGGGAGAGGCGGAAGCAGAGTTGGACTCGCAGTTGCAATAGAGGGGCTGGCATGCAGATAGATATGCCTTTGTTTCTGCAGGTTTGGGTCATGTGTTTGTGCAGCTTGTCTGTTTGGTGTGGAATGTACATGTACTTTAACATGTCGTATACATGTCTGTCGGAAATGCCGATCGGTAGAAAACGTGCTAAGGTCCTCTTCACGCAAGCCGTGAACGAGCCTTGGATCATCTCGGAACCTGAAACCTGGGTCGAGTTCGGACGAGGGTTTGTCACCTCAAGCTTTGTCAGCCGCCAACTCTGCCATGTCAACTGATAAAGCCTGGGCCTGTCAACAGGCATAGGTTTCCGTGGCATTGACAATCAGAGGCTTTCGTAAGCAGGAGCTTCCGCCGAACTCGGCCGGTCGTTCTCTGCAGGGTTTGCACATCCGGAAGCACCCGTTTGCCCCAGGACTACCTGACCGATGAC